GCGGCAGCTAAATTGATGAGAGATATGTCAACACACCAAGGCGAATCTTTTAGGCACTAAGCTACATAATTTTCGTCAGGTCTTCTTTAGGAAATCACGCATACATGTCAGGGATTCTTGGCGTACAGAAGCCAGAATACAATTTTGGTATCAAGTAGAACGTAAGATTTGGTATCTTGTTTACCATGGGGTCGATTTATGACTTTTATTTTCTTGACTTGTGGGGGCAAGGGTAGATTAAGAACAAAATGACAGGAACTCACGGTTTTATTGGGTACTCCTTGCAAGAAAGGACATGCAGTGTGGATGAGTTCTTACAGGAAATCCCGAGAAAAAAAAAAACTTGAAACATCAAAAAAAAACTAGGACACTTAACAGTAGTAGAGTAATGGATGATGGATAAGAACGGCAACGAGTTGCCTAATTATCTATTAGCAAGGGGGAACACAGTGACTCGTGTCCCTTGCAAAATATCATTGCTGTATTGCTGCATGCAACCGAGTTCTTCTAATCTCGGACCACAAATGACGTCACATGACCAAGTGAAATTTCTTCTAAAACGTAGACCAAATGACGTCACATGACCAGGTGAAAATACAACACCAGCTCGATGGTCTTCAAATCTGCAGTTGAGCCCATGGTCGGGAAGCCCCTTTCGCACATTCCCAGTGTGATCCCTACCGCAAGCCTCCCATTGTGTTCGGAGCAGCCGGCATTCGGATCCCTGCCGTCGTACCACATAAATAGCCCCTCCGATAGGACTTGAGGCAAGGCGGGAAGGCTGTATCGGGTTTCGTGCAAAGGTGCTCTCCCATATTGACCTCGCGGCTGACACACATCGNGTACCACATAAATAGCCCCTCCGATAGGACTTGAGGCAAGGCGGGAAGGCTGTAGTATCGGGTTTCGTGCAAAGAAATATCCTCTCCCATATTGACCTCGCGGCTGACACACACACATCGTCTTCTCTGCTGATCGCTGTGTATCCAGGTGGGTAATTTCTACGTGTTGTATCCTTCGCCGTACTCCGTAACATGTCCACACCACTGCTCCACACGGAGAGACCAACTGCCACTCGCTGCTACTGCTGACCTTCATGACGGATGCTCTTCAACGGGATTACGACATGGTTGGTTGCGACAAGATGTCTCGGCAAACTGCTCTGAGGAACACCAGGGAAGGAAGTTGACAACAATGGCCACATTGGATGTATATCACTTGAACACTTTCCGTGCTCTACTGATGTTGATTACCAACACCAAACATACCAGGAAACCAGCGAACACGATACAAACTGAACGCTATGCCCTACCTACCATGCACCAGGTGTACCATTCTCTTCTACTGTAAGCATCACTGATACGCTACCCCAAAGGGTCAAATAAGTTTGTTTTTTTTGGTAGTCGCTAAAAACACGGCGTAAAACACCTACTGCCCGTGAAACTAAAAAATCTATAGGTTTGAAAAACGAGTGATGTACTGCTGTAGCCTTCTTTCCATCTTCCATGATTTTAAATCAATATTATTTATTTCTCCTTAAATTCCTAAAACCAGCAAGCTGTCAATTATTGACACTGCGCCGTGTCCCCTGTGAAGGTTACATCTTACAATACACGACACTACGGAGGGATTCTCCCCGATATTTTGTCGTTGACCCTGTAGAGAACTACAGGGGATGTATTGTAAAATGTAGATTTACCTATACAGATATTTTTGTACTTAGCACCAGCTGGCATCACTGATAAGTCATCAGTGTATAGACTTATAAAGTCTCGAAATAAGTCCAGTACCCAGCCGGTTTTCCTCCACTTACTGAAAAGACTACCACATCCCGTTCGACTGTGGGTATATCTCGAATGGGTAGTCTTTCTGTGCGTGTAGATTTATTTCTCCTTAATTCCGTCGAGCAGTATCGGAGAGCNGTTTATTTCTCCTTAATATAGATAGTCGGTTGTGTGGTCCAAGCTGACTCGCATAGACGGTGCCACCGTTGTCCCAGCTTTGGCTCTTTCCAGCAGCGGACGGTGCCGACTCTTTTACATACCGTTCTCACTTACTACGTGCAAGTAAGTGACGCATCCCATCTCTATCCGCAGATTAGAGTCCACAGGACTTTCTGTAGGGCATGTTCTGGAGGAGTCGTCTGCTGAACCAACACCGTCAAGCAAATGAAAGGCGCAGAAATCGTAGGATTCTACACAGTATAGGCAGTAGTGGTAGTAGTAGTAGTCTACGACTACAGGCGTGCCCTTAAGGTACCTTTTCGTCAGTTGTTGCTCTTCGTTTGATACCGCCCGGATACGATGTTTGGCGATTAAGAATGCAGGCTACATGTACATCATGTATAGTGGAGAGACGAATGTATGAGTCTTAGCATTCGACATATACTGCTGCTGTAGACTGTATTCGACATCTGAATACACTTTATCGCCGTTCCTATCGTATCGGGTCATCCCATAGCTATATGCATATGATCTCCTGAGAAGAGCAAGCAAGCGTATCAGATCGCGACTCGACGAACAAAAGCTGCATGGATGAAGTCTAGTCTAGGTATTGGATGCATCTTCCGTTCCTCCGGCTGCCGCCAACTTCTTCAAGATCTCTAAGAAATCTCATGGGAGTGGGGGCTGGGTCCGTTCGCGTTTCCTGGTCTATCGAGACTCTGGGTTGATAGAGGACACACCCTGCCGGCCTACATGCGCATACGAGTCACAACGAGTCCTCAAGGAACAGGTCAACTTTGGGTTTCCAGCTTCCATGGCCCTCTGCCACTTCTTTTTCCACTCTTCGGCTCGCTCTGCTACTCTCCCTCTCTTTTGCGCGCTCTTTGGTCGTGAAGGCAATCCAATGTGCTCTTATACTCCTTTAAAAATTCACGGGCAGGTTTAGTACAGTACAGTATTTTTATTCCAGTATTCAACTGCGTACTAAAACGTCCAGTACAGTACAGTACCGAGAGCCGTGCTGCCAGTACAGTATATTCC